ACATCAGTACCACGTTCTCGCAAAAATAATACCTCTCACTCTTTAATAAAAGTTTATTTTTAATCAATGTCTTTAACATAAATTTCGTGACACAATTTATGTAATATTGTACGTACCAAACGTTATAAACTGAACTACGGCGAAAACACGTTTTCTTTGTATAATTTTAATGGATAATCAATTTCATGGGTGTACGTAAAATGGTTTTGTGATATTTTGTGCGAACAACCAGAAACAGATTTTTGAATGGTCAAATGACAGAGTTCAAATGACAAATGACATCAAATGACATCAAATACAGAGTTTCACGGTTTTACACAAAATCGTGGTTATGTTTTTGTGTTCGAAGGGCGCACGCGCGTTTTGTATGGCGTCTGAGAGAAATATAGGTAGCGGAATAGGGAGGAAAATCGAGAAGAATGGTTGGGACGTCGATGAACGACACCCCTGCACAGTGATCTATTTTAGTGACGTGAGTGCTTCCAAGGTCATCGCAGGAGCAAACTACCACGACGCCTCCACCCCGACGCCTACGCATGGTGTGTGGGTGTAGCAGGGCATACTGGTCAGTTCAAAAATGATGTCACGAGATTTACAAATCTCACCATATTTTATCAAATTTTGCGTACAAACAAGGTGTATATAAACTGTGTTAACCTAACTCGTACAAAAAAAGCGAATTTCTTGTTTCGATAGCTTTTCTGTTCATAGTTTGTTGAATTTCCAAATATTTCCTTTATTAAGGTAGATCACCTTAAGTAATAATCGCAACAACGTCTTCAAATTTCGTTACAACTTCTCGAAAGTAGATTTGTCATCAGCTATGACACTCGGAAGTTCGGAAATCTAACACTAGCGATTAGATGACAATTTTTTTCAGTTGTTAAAAATAAAACCGAATATCATTTAGTACCGGTACATGGTCCACGTATCCGCTTCCTTCTGTTCAAATCTGACAAAAATTATTATTGAACTGCGGATATTGTGGACTCAATAATGAAAATGAACAAATAAAACAGAAAATTGTAAAGACAATGGAAAAAGAAAAACGTTTGTACATTCTGTTCGACTTGTTATTCAAAGAAGAGATATAATCTCATTCGATCGCGTTGTGTTTTCTAGAACTAACTTGATTATATTACAAAAAGATTCGCAGTTCAATTGTTACAAATGAAAATTACTGTTCTTTCTAATATTATTCGAAGATGAAATTCTTTAATCCCCTGTATATTTTAATTTTGCACAGCTGCGCATGCGCACACGTTCTGCAAACACGGATATTCAACGATTCTATCCACCGATGTATCCGCCTACTTTTACGCCTACGCCTAAGTAACTCTGTAACGCCTACGCATCCTCCCACACCTTGAGCTTCGCAAAAATTTCGGAAATATGGTCCCAGTGCTTCAAATTAATCTGGAAGCCGCCCGTGCAGACGGAATCATGATTTTTCAGTTTTACAGTTGTGTTTTATTAAAGTTGTATTTGCATTTACGTTCACGTTCAGTTATGCTATCGAAAATTTCGTTGATCGTTTTTATGCCTCAGTTTCGATGTATCCATCATCGTCAAGTCCTGAGGATTCCTGGACCGATATGTATTTACTATGTGCGGGAGGGAGAATCGGCGGAAAATATCATAAATAATTAAATTTTTATTAATTGTCGCGATACAAAAAATTGATTCTGGAACATCACCCGAAAAATACGACTTTTCTTCCAACTATAATATTTTACAGTATCGTTGTATATTTGTTACACGTTATAAAGAAATAAATAATTTCAAACTTAATGCAGCGTATTCAAAAATCCGATATATATCTGTAGATGGATATAAAAGAATATATTTTTTTACTATTGAGAACGTACACGTACTTTACAAATTCGAGTGTTGCTATAATTGTCAATATGTATAATCGCCAAGTATCATAGTGATCAGTTAACAAACATTTCATAGTAAGAAATTAAATGTTATACAATATACAACCAAATTATTCTGATAATAGCGTTTTATTGAATGTGTTATTGGGGATAACAATGAAATTTATTCGCATATTATAACCGATATATTCTATAGAATGTTCCTTTGTCAAGGGAGAACCCAAGAGAAAGGTGTGACAAAGCTCGAGAGAAAGGGCAAGCAGGATGCTTTCGATCGTTAAAGCACTACAGCGCCTGGACACGTGATTCTCATACCCAAGCCTCTCATTCATAAACTCGTGCCGCGTTAATTCTTCATACGTCAATTGATGTTTCTGGCACCAGCAGTTTCGCTTACGCCTCGAAATCAGTCAATGACTCCGCTAACAATAAAAAGACATTTACAAAAAAATATACGTTTTTACTGAGAAACGTATTCTCGTGCTTATTCACGTTATATTATTATTCCATTGAATTTCTATTAATTTAGCTAATGTGTGTGTGTGTGTGGAAGAACAAAGGTATTCAATTACCTTTAATCATAACTAGATTGCGGATCTTTATGAAAAACACAAATTTTCTGCATCGGATCCAAGAGATAAGCATCACGTGTGTATTTAAATTTTTCTTCAATAAAATAGTACGTCAATATTCTTCAATTATTTTAAATTGTCGACTGTTTTGAATTGCTTCGATTCGTTTTTGCCAGGAATGCATAAAATCGGCAGTCATATTACGACCGATCGCCTATCTCTACGGCATATTTACAAAAAGATTCGTTATTATACGAGTCCAAAGTTAAATCCTGCTGTCAAAAATCTCCGGTAGGTCAACGATTTGTCGTTGAACTATTTGAATGCGGAAGGCTAAAATACAGAAGAAGAGAAGCCAAGAAAGAATGTACATTCGGATGAGGTACAGATGAATCCTAATCGTGGCAACCGGTTTAAACGTTTCATTTAACTCAGAGTTATACGTATTGACCGGCATGCCGGCATTGTACGCGATGGATCATATCGCACCTGTTTCCCCGGAAGATGTGAAACCTGATTTGGCTGATCAACCCCTACCTTGGTTGAAGGTCATCGTTGCTGGGATATAAATAAAAGTGGAGTGGCTGTATGACTGTGACAGTGTAGCTGGACTCGCATTGAGCGGTGGCTCCATTCATGATTTCGTAGCGCACGCGCTCTACCCCCTTTCTCATATAGAAATTGCTCTGTGGCCGACTATGTAGGCACTGGATACGTGGGTGCATGCATACGGTCGCTCTCGAGGGTGCTGCGATCAAGCTCTTTACACCGGGGATGACAGAGGACGTCTAAGGATCATCACCGAGGAACGCCGAGCACACGAAGATATCTGCGAACGCTGCACGCATGTACGTATACGCCGTGAAAGAAATTATTCGATGTGACAGTGACACATGTTATAACAGTGGCTGTGTTGGTGACAGATGCTTTCCGACGAGATTTTTGTTGTCATCGCGAACATTTCCATCACACACGCAACGATGCCGTACCGACGAGGTATTGTGCTCGGTGATCTCTACTTATTGAGACCGATGACACCTCGTTGTTAGAAATCGAGAAGTTCGTTCCTAAATTTTTACCATTTTCAGTTCGTACAGTTCGTATCGCATGTATTCGTCGAGTCGCTGTTTACTAGTTTTTGTTACGAAGATAACCGAACATTAAAAACGTTATTTAAATTTTTCGTTCCACGCGAGAACAACGTTATGTATTTTCGGTGTACCATCTCGACAATAACGCAATATCGAAAGATTTGAATTGAGAGAAAGAGAAACTCAGAGATTAAAGATATGTATCCGAAACAACGCCGGTGGGTGCCGGAGAAAAAGAAAAACCGGCGTTACCACCGCGAAACCATTTCAGGTCCGATGAACAAAGAATTCTTCGAAATTAGTATCGCTGGGATCGGTAGTTGCTATGCCGCGTGGGCGACGAAGAAAGAAATAGTAAGTTCGTAGAAAGTGGGGATGGAATTGTTGAGAGAAATTGTTGGGAGCTCTTCGGGGCGGAAGGATAGTGCGGGGGTGGGAATCATCTATCCGAATGAGGGGTAAGAATGCATTCTTTCGATTGGTCGGGAGAAGCTTGCTGGCTCCGCGAAAGGACCGGCAGTGGGGAGGGGTGGTAAGGCTCCTATTTCAACGAGACACAGTGACCATACAGTCGAGTAGTCGAGCTCAAGAATTCAGTGTGTATCGGACTCTGCGACAATTTCATTCGGCGAGCACGTGTCTTGTACCAAGACGAGATCTTTAAGTCGCATGTGCGCCTGTTTTCACACGGATTATCGTTGATCGAGCAAAAAATCGGAAGGCCGGTCCATTAATTTACTTAAAAATCATCGCCGAACAATTTTAAAAAATTCCGCGTTCTGTCTCAACGAAACCATTGACGCATCGAATATTTAACATATTCCGAAGTACATATCTCAACGTGACGAAGGTACGTTCTCATTTTATCTATTCTTTTTAAACAATGTACGGAATTGTTGGATCGACAGGAATATATGCTGATACGTAGTTTTAATTTATATTAATATGTACTTGTACAATCTACCATTTGTGTGTGTGTGTGTGTGTGTGTGTGTGTGTGTGTGTGTGTGTGTGTGTGTGTGTTTTGTGCGTTCGAAGCGGAGCTTAGAAGTAGAAGAATAATAATATAGATGTCAAAACTTGATCGTCATAGGTCAAATCTGTTCGTTTACGTTTCCGTTTTTGTGTTACAAAATGTACTTCTCGGACGACATTGAAATTCTAACGAGAGTGAAAGTACCCTACGTTGGCGCTATTGAACAATAGTGAAAACGAAATTCAGAAAGTTAGTTCGTTTCCACGATTGTGTTTTTTCCAACAGGTATTTTCTTGCGTTGGATATCCTTGAAGCAACTTCAAGGTCTTGCACGTTTATTGTTGCAAACATAAAACCAAGTTCCGAGGATTTGTTAATTTGAAACGTCTAAAACTGAAATCGCTAACGAATATATTTGCAATTATGGCGTTTCGTGAGGAAACGATGGAAAAATATTATCTCTTAGTTAAACCGAAAATTGAAACTTGTGTTTTGTCCATAGATACAAAGTATATGTTTTATTTCTTCGTCCGCAAATTATGGCGTTTTGTGAGGAAACGATAGGAAAATATTATCTCTTAGTTAAACCGAAAATTAGAATTTATACAATTTCTGTTTTATCCATAGATACAAAGTATATGTTCTATTCCTTTGCCCGCAAATAGAATAATAAATTCCATAAAGACGTCGCTATAGTTCGAAATATTGTTTATTTTCTAAATGAAGTACTATAATGGATTGGGGGGGCGTCAGATTTTCACTTTCACAGTGCTTTTCTAGAGATAACAATGATATCGGTCGTTTATTTGGACATATTTTCTTCATTTCATTAACACTGTACACAAACGCGTACATTTATTTTCGGAAAATTATACTCTGAATTCCAAGTATGTATTTCCTGATTACAAATAAATAATTTGTTGTAATTTCGTAGAATGTTTTAATGAGTTCAACAACAGAATGGAATACCGATTTTTCGCTATACGAATGACTATATAATTAATTCTATAAAATTTGAAATTATATTATATTTAGAAAATTAAATAAAATTCCATCTAAAGAATTAAATAAAGACGCGTTTGTATAAAATACCGTAATAATGACATTGTAAAATTGAACTTGTTGGCAAAGAATTTATTGCCGTCGAATTTTCCGACTGTTTGATCGTACGCAACATCCCTATAACAGATGACAGATATTTCACTTTCTCTTTCCTTCTGACCCTCTGAGAGAATAGCAGGTCTAACCTTGGTCGCCATGGCGATTTCAAGGATAGCACCCTCTAACTGCTGCAGACCAGCTGCTGGAAAAACGAAAAGGGAAAAGTTCGCAGGCTAACATGTAGCGTTTCCATTCCTGTAAAGATGGTCGGTAGGTATTGAAAGCGATTTTCCGTTTCCGAAATACAATGTATATCAGCTTTCGTGCGTGCTTCCTGTTGGGCCTCGACAATGTAACGATATTAGGCAAGTTCAAAAAATACGCCCATCTAGAAATTGCAAATACGAACCGTTTAAAATTCGTTCGTCTATAAATTCATGTTTTCCGATCTGATACATATTTTGTGCTTACACAAATTAGATATCTATCACTATACAATTTTTCTTTTGAAGTCTTTCAATAAATTAATGATCTCTCTTTTACGAACAAGAGTTCTACTTGCATTTTATTGAAAATACAAATTTTTCAATCTCAAGTAAACGCATGAAAATATTCGTACATGTATATCGATTATCGTATCATCAAAAATGCTATCCAAAAATTTTTATCTTTTTATTCATTTTTCAATTAATCCTGCAATGAAGACAATGTCCTCGTAAAAACAGACTAATATTTCATTAATTTCAAAACGAACTGTTGCAATAATTTAATTTATATATATCAGTTTTCGGCGTACAAGAAAATAATTGTACTAATTTGCTGGTAAAATTATACAATATCAGCAAAATTGCTGTACTGTAATTCGAACATATAAATTTGTATATTTTTTGGTTTAGCAAAAAATGCTTTACATATTAATTTACATGCTTTCAAACGAGAAATGTACTCTGAACAAATTTCTCGTAGAATGTTGTGTCAAAGATTTCAAGCTAATTAATATTTTTTACCTGATTTAAATTTTGTGACATTTGCTCGTAGTGTTTACAAAGGTGTACTGAAATACACAATACATGATTTGTAACCTTCGAGCGACTTTAATCATCACGAATGTGACAAAATTGTAAGTTAATTGCTTTAGGGTGGTATATAAATTTATTAAAATTAATGTTTGATATAAAACAATTGTTCATGGACATTGGACATTGTTCATTCAATAACAGCTTTAATTATTTGATACATGTTTTTTGGACTGGTAAGCTGGACTGGTAAACAACGGTGTTTTGCCGTTCAATATATTACGAATATGTACAGTACATATAATACAGTATGTTATACACGCGTTTGTATATCTCTTTTCCGTTGTATTTTATAGTTGATATTAACATTATTATGTATCTGTATACATAGCAATGCATACTAGCAATGAAAAAATATTTATCACGATGAAGATATGGAAAAGAATGTATTTTGGAAAAAGTTTTTTTATTTTGTAATTTTATACAATAGAAACCTTATCATTATTAGGTATTATCAATATAAAGTATTATCATAATAAACCATAATATCTCATAAGAGAGTTTAATTTATACGAAATTGTTTCCTGAACTTTTGCAATAGAAATATGCATCAGGAATGTGAGAACTTTGGCCGGCATCAATTAACTACGCTCTCGTTATGAGTTACGATTAGAAAATCAACATTCTCGTAACCATGAAAAGTTTATTGAACGTAAACACAATTGCAAATACTTAAACAAGTTTGGTTTCTTTCTTCTATTACATGTGTTATATTTTTAAAATTCAAAGAAAATAGTTTAAAAGTTTTCACGAACGTGTGAAAAATAAAATTAATATGTAGTATATTTATTTGTACATCTGTTTTTACGAAGAAATTAAAACAATCGTAGTCTCTTAATTGTAAAATTAGTAGTGTAAGGCCAAATTAATGTTTCCAATATTTCGTTAATTTGAAAAATTAAGACTTCTACATTTTTCTAAAAATTATTGTGAAAGTAATCTGTAAATATGATGATAGAGTTCTATCAGATTATTAGATCAGTCTTATTTTCCTAACTTGTAATGATACGTTATGTTAACAATTAACAGATGGTTTGTTATTAAAAATTAACGTGTTCGACTTGTTAAACTTCGCGCATTTAATGTTCCTAAAACGGTAAGTTATAGAGCGCCTACATTAACATATTATAGTAATAAATCTCAATAATCAAAATGAATTTGAAATATATTTCGAATTTTGATTATATATCGATTTCGGTTCTTGGACAAGTTTTGAAGATCCGAAATGTTTTTATAAATTCTTATTATATCGGTTCTATGACTGTTATTTTTCGGTTCTGAGTTTTGGTTATAGATTTCGGTTCTAATCATAAATACATTTTATTTCTTTTGGAGAACCAAAGTATGGCTTCTTAAATACTTTGTACCATTGACAGACTGCGACTTCGGCCATGTACTGTTTTGTCAACCACACAGAAAAAGTGTACAATCTCTTACAATACATTATAAGAGAAATCCAGAACCGAAACCAATATAAGTCAGAACCAATATACCTCACAACTGTTACGAAACTTTTTCGGTTCTCCATAACTGTTTCAGTCAGAACCGATATATGTATAACAGTTTGAAACAGTTATTTTCGAAATCTTTTTTCAATCCCTAGTTTATACTATTGTTTATGAGCATTAATAAATATTCATATATTCGATTCATTCGCGAGTACTAATAATGTAGATTATTCTTTTACTGCAATTTTCAAATATAATGAATTTAATGATTACAAAGTAATATAATTAATTATAAATTCCATTCTAATAAGTTATCAATATCAAAAGTTGACGGTGGATATAA